GAATGGATGATGTGGGGAGACAGTTTGTTAAGCAAAGTAGGAAGTGACTTGGACGGGGTATGAATGAAGTCAATATGTAAAGAGATTATCATGTGTCCAAGGGCAGTAAAGAAAAGGGCAGGCCTGAGACGAGAGGACCTCCAGGGAAGAGTAAAAACCACATTCCAGGCAAAAGAAATGTAAATGCTAAAATGGGCAGATTGCTTGTGCCACCAGGCATGGTTCAGGACCAGCATCCATAGCCATGGCAGCCAGGCCAAAGGAACTTAAGGACAGAGTAGAAAACCAAAGAATCTAAATAAAAGAACTGTAAACCAACCACCACTTCTGGGCCTTTGAACACACCCAATCTCTGATCCTAATCAACACATTCTAGGAACTTGGTGAATCTCCCAGAATCACCTTCTCTGGATTTGACTCCTAAAAATTGGATCCTACAACATAAATTCCACATGGACTGAAAAATATTGCAGCCCTAACCAGAATCTCTAAATAGATTAATTATTTCTTAAGATCCCAACATTAGGAACCAGCAATAAAACCAGTACGGATAGCCTAGGGCAACTATATGCTTACAAGGAGGTTTCTGGTCCCAACATGGTCCTGAATAGCGTTCTAAGAGATTCACTGTTTTCTAAGAGATCCTTAAATGGCTCTGGGACTCTGAAAGTTTGCTGTGTTGGCAGCAATCATATGAAATACCTGGGCACCAACCACTACTATGGAAAGTTGAACAACAGTCAGGAAACTAAGATCCTCTGATCCAAGATTCCCAAACCAGGCTGAGAAAATCAGAGGGGGAGCTTGTTAAAAAATAGATATTTTAGAGCTCTACCCCTGCAGACACTGGCATATGAGACTTAGGAGAACTCTGAAATCTATATTTTAAAAAAGCTCCTCAGACAGTTTTTCAGTAACCCACCTTTTGGACTTTACTACTCAGGCTTCCAACAAGTTAAAAAACAAAGAGCATATATGTTCAATTCTAAAACACAATCTCAGAAATTGAAAGTAGCTTATTTATATATTCCTATCCAGTGTAATAAAAATGAACAAACCCGAACAGAATATATTACATTCCAAGAATGCTAGACGTATCAGAATTTCATCACAAACAGATTAATAAAGCAAAAATCCCAAGTACTACTAGGAACAAGCAGGCAGTAATGTGTCCTCTGGCTGTAAGCAAACCATAAATCTGTGCAAATTCTAGAAGAATTTTTTTAACTAAAAATCCTCACTAAACAAATTACAAATGGCAAGCAATACTTTAAATTTTATCTGATCTTATTAAATTTAACATTTCTAAGTGAACAATTACCATGTGTTCTTAGTTCATGGATACCAGTGTCATATTCCACCCTTTTACTTACAAGTAAAGCACTAGGATCTCCATTTAGTTGGCTATCATCTCGAGATTTCACATAACGACGATGGTTTTGATAGAAATTAGACAGTCCATAATACATAAACACATTGCCCTAGAGAAACAGAGGGAAAAGATGTTCACAAAGTATTAAGTATGAACTCGTTTCACGCATACATAAAAGCTACCCATAATTTGGACTTCACTAGTTTATAATTCGTGATAACTTAGAATAGGCACTGGGGTGAATCCCACCAGTACTTCACAATCTAAAACAGTACAAATTGTAAATAAGGTTATAGAAGCTATGTTATAAAAATCCAAGAGTAATCTTTGAGAATATCCTGAAAGATTTCAAAGAAGTACTTACTATTTAGATTAAAAAGAAAAACTCTCAAGGAATCTATTAGCCTAGCCTGATCTACTTTCAATTTAAAATTTTCTCTAATTCAGTTTGGTCTTCACCCAGTTAGGATCAACTTTGCAAAGGGACAATGGTCAAGTTTTCATTTACTGCCCCAAAGTAAACTGTGAACTTGAATTGGGATATAATAAATTTCTCAGTACGATACTATATTAGTAATTAAGAAATTAATAATAAAGTATCTAAGATAATGAGTCACTTTATAATAATCAAGACAAGTACTTGAATGTATTCAGTGGATTCGACCTGAAAATCACATGGGAAATAAGGGTAACCTACATACAATTATTTAGATGCTATGAAGCCACCTTAAACGACTAAGATTTTTAGAAGTAGCAAAAACAGTAAGTTATTTTCTCCTTTCTGGTTGCTACCTCTACCATCTATAATCTTACCCTCGATTAAAAGGAATTCAGGGAAAAAAAGGTATTAAATAACATCTTAAGAATGCTTTCTTTGATTTGTTATTTTCATATACACAAACATTTATTTAAAGCTTGATTTTTCAAATATCAAATTATGCACTTTCCGTTCTATGTAAAGAAACAAAGACACTTCATTAATTTATTTATTTGGTTGGGTTTTTTTGTTTATTTTTGGTTATCAAAATTATATCACAGGAACAAAGAATATGCTTTAAAAAAAAGAGTTTCATCTCAATTGAGAAGCAGTACATTAAATTGAATTTATTAACTGAAAAAGAGATCCTTTCAATGAACACTGAGACACAATAACTAACCTAAAGTTCTCTGAAAAGGCTTTAGTCCAATTCAAAGTTTGGTCTTGTGAAGGTGCAAAGAGCTGACAAAAGAATGAATCTGAGGATGGTCACCTTCGCAGAAGAGTTCTGAAATACTAAGTGTTTTTGAACGGAAGAGGAAACTAACAGAGCTTCTAAATCACTACATGCCTCTTCTATGTCTTTAATCCTGACTGTTCTGACAGAAGTAGAACTTAATGCATTTTTATAGTCTGTCCATCACATTAAAAAAAGAATAAAATTTTAATGATGTTTTAAATGTATATGTATTTCTGTTGAAACAAAAGAACTAAATTCGTCTCTCCTCCCAAATTTATTTTCATTTTTTTTTAAAGGCAGCCTTATTATCCTTCCTCTCAGTGCAAGAACATCTACAACCACTGGATGGCAACCATCTACCAGGGACTAC